CTTTTCAATATATATTATTATATTATTTATATCATAAACCTTCACTGTAGAAAGGAAATCATTTTCAGGTAGTAAATTCCCTGTAGCTCCCCCTACCCCACCTTTTCATAATGTGAGCAAAAGGTTTTTTTTAAAATAATGCCAAGTAGACAGACAATCAAAACAGATTAAGTATTATACAGTTATTTTATTTATCTTTATATGTACACAAGATTAGCAATATAAGATTATCCAATCCAATAATTTATCCACAATGAAGTCCTGCTCTCACTTTCTTATAAATCTCTGCAGTTTGGGGAACAACTTTAAAGCATTCTTAGTTGTTTCTTCATATACTGTCTGGACTGGAATGCCTTTAATTTGAGCAATTGCCTCACAAGATATTCTGATATTCTTGGGTTCATTCCTTGTCTGAAAAAAAATAGTTACTACATCATAAATAATGCCCACAAACATAAACTATATTGTTTTATTTCCTGTACATTGTAGAATGTTGTCTTTTAAGTACCGTGTGAACAGAAGTATCAACTTAGTAGACCATGGATTGTGCTGCAAGTATAGTATTAGAAAATTTCAGTGTCCCTTACCAAAAAAGAACCTTATAAAAGAGGTAAAAATTAATCTATATCCATTCATTAATCAAAAAAGAAAATGCATGGTTTTAATGGATGTTTGATGAGAGGGAGGCGGTAAAACGGCAGTAATGAGCAGAAGGGCTTCAATACAGAACTTTTTCTTCTATTTTTTGTTTTTGTTTTAGTTATTTCTTTTCCTTTCCAGATTCAGACTTTGATCTCAATACCTGTTTTTCAGCTGCCAAGGCTGGTGAATCAGTTTCCAGGAGAAGATTTGAAAGTGGAACATTTTTCACAAGCTTCTCTTTCTACAAACACAAACACAAACAAATTTGCAACAAAATTCCTCATCTATCTGGCAAGCTGTTACGTCGTTTTTTCCTACTGATGTTAGGGTGTAGAGGGTAAGCTTTAAGGTAATGCTTAAACCACCAAAACCCACTTCCAGTACTTCTGGTTATTCCATACACAAGTGGTGTGGTCAGCAGTATGTTACAATACACAATGTCTATTTCCTTTTTCTTTCTTGGAAACTACAACTGACACATGACTGACCTAAGCAGGGCTTGACACTAACTTTTTAACTCACTAACCAAGTGGCTGGTGACAACTTAGATGTTACAACAATTTCAGTTTGTTTGCAAGCCAAACTGGCCAGTGGAAATTGAAAACCACTTGCCAAAACTGAATTTCTACTAGTCTGTGGCTAGTTGCATGGCTACCGTTAGTGTCGAGCCCTGCTAAGGTTTCCAACTTCGAAAATATTTGAGCTTGAAACAGTACTTATCTACATGTACTACTATTATCATTATAATAATTATTAATTATTTATCATTACCTGGGGGGAGCGAGCTATAGATGGTGGGATTGAAAAGTAGTAGCCTTGTTGAACTCCCTTAAGGGCATTGGAAGGCTTTCCATCAAAGGCATGAAGCAAGACATTCCTGGCGCCTTGTGGAGAGACAAGGCAAAAATCAATTTCAGAGATCTAGACTTAACAAAATATTTCTTTTGAATTTTAACTTCATTGTTGCTCTCACAACTGGCAGGCCAATCACATTTAAAGCTGTTAGTGGGACTGAAAGAAGTACCTTAACTCAGTTTTAACCTAACAACTATTCTTGAACATGGGAAGAGTTTTAATCAATAATTTGTCATGAGCCCATGGGACAAACAAAACTGAGTTTTGCATAAAAATTTAAACCTCAACTGGTTGTGCCAGTTACTGAGAACTCATTGGCAAACAAGCTCATTCTGTAGTTCACATGTGGCAAGTATACCCTTACCAAAATCAAGTTTATTATTAAGTTTACTATTAATTCATAATATGTATGTAGATTTCTGCTGCAGTTTTTCCAAATTCATTGTAACATGAGATATGTAGTTTTATCTTATGATGGAATCAAGACTTTATTATTATTATTATCATTATGACGGCCCGATACTGATACCAAATATTCAATACCAGCGATACCAAGGTCAGATTGGAAAATAATGATACTAGCGAAAAGTATGGGTGCTTTCAATACTTCATGTGACCTGCCTGCACTTTGTCTCACGCCAGCATTCAACCCCTAACAAGGAGCTGGAAGACTCTGAGCTCGAGACAGGGTCATGAGCACTGCAGTGTATTGGTCTAGGTGGCATGTGAATGTTGCAAGAGTGAACTCATACACAACCATGAGTTTCAACTTAAGTACACCCTTAATCAAGTTTTAAATTTTTTACTGTCTTATTGACACTTCTTTAGAGATCTGAACACTGCATAACTTTGACAGCGCAAGATAACCCTACATTCCGTCAATCAAATCATGCGACTTTCCATTTGACTCAACNTAAAACCACTAATGGCAAAGTGACAAGTACAGTATACTTTAAGTATACTTAGACTGTGTTCAAGATAGAAATGAATGGTTATAACCAAAAATGTTGGAAAATTAAACAATCTTAAACAATTTCAGGTCAAGGTCAAGTTCCACCAACTCAGTTATTTCCATCACAACTACAGGCACTTCATGCAAATTGTGCCATGTGAGATCTAAACCCTTTCTTCCCATATGAATTAGTTTTTATCTTTCTTCTTAACTCTGCTTTAGAATAGAGTTCCATGTTGTTCATATGAAACTGTCAGAACAAAACTTAAATTATTAAAAACTGGATCATTGGATAATGCAATTCAAGACTTTTTATTGTCTTAGCCATTATGGTATATGAGCCAATATACCATAATCTAATATCTGTACATTGTAACATCCGGTTTCTTCTTACAAGGTAAAGCCGAGAAGATTTGTCTAATATCTTGGGGACGTTTTTTTTAATAAACAATTATTCCACTCTCTCTTGTTGGATATGAGATGATTATAGCCAACTCGGTGCTGATGATTATAGCCAACCTCTTTGGCCATCTATCATCTCATATCCAACGTGCTCGTGGAATAATTGTTCACTAACTTGCTTTGGCATTTATAATAACCATTGAACCAAAACTGGCAAAAAATGAGATTCATAATTTAAACTAGCATTTTGATAGGATCAGTAAGGTTGAAATGAATCTGTGTGCCTGGATATTTGATAGTAAGGACGTTTTTGTCTAAACTAATATTAGTATAAAGGGGGTGTTAAGACGTTAACGAACTTGTGTGCGCGCATGACTTGCGTGTGCGTGCTTTGGGATTACGTAGGTTAATAATATCGTAAGCAAATCACGCAGACCTTTTTATTTTTGATGTGTGCAATTTTCTTGGAGAGAGTTGAAAGTTTTTAGTTTTATCGATTGGCGGTTTGTTTAACAGACATTGTCGTTTACCATGAGTCAACAATTCTCCGTGTTGGAATAAACATGTTTGTCTTGATTTTCCGTTTCGCTTCCGAACAGGGGGTAAGTTTCAAAAGAAACTATGGCGCTGCATCAATAAGGGAGTATAGTACATAAATTAGGGTTTTATCAACTGAGTTGATAATGTAAATCAGCCTTTAAAAGTTTCAAAGCTGATGTTTGGAGGGTAAGTCCTTCAAGTGAGAGAGAATGAGGGGCTAATGTTCAAAACATCAGCTTTGAAACTTTTTACGGTGGCCAATTTAGATTATCAACTCAGTTAATAAAACCTCAATTACCCTGTTATACTGGTATAACCTCCTAGTTAAAAGATGGGAGAAACCCCATACTATAATAAAAACCCTTTCAGTCCCTGCGCGACTGCGAAGTCACTATACTCCCAACAATATTGATAGAATGCAAAGCAGATGAGAAGAAAGAAAAATATTGGATATTGTGTGATCTTCTTCCAACTTTGCAGAGTTGACATTATAATAGATAAATGATAGACATTAAAGAGAATAGATACTGTGACCCTGGGAGAGAGAGCAGTAAGTTTAAAAACGAAAATTAAATACCATGTTGTGGCAGCATTTCAATCACATGTCTTCCTGCTGAGCGCGAGTGCACATTTCTACAAACAACAACACACGATTCCCTGACCATGTGTCATGCAATTCTCTCTGTTCTCATAAATGTACCATATTTACTTGTGTACAAGTCAACCTTTTATTATTAGTCCATTTGGAAAACCAAGTTTTAAAAAACCAGTTCTAATTGTGTTTGAGTCTTGTCAGTTTTCAGCTCATTCTTCATCAACAAAAAGGTTTGAAATAATGAATTTTAAGTGGCTTAAACACAGCTTTGCTGCTGTTTATGGTGCAGAACTTTTTTTTTTCATTGAACAATTCCAGAAGCTTAGTGAACAGAACAAGGTTAAATTTTGCTCTGCAGTTTTCTAACTTCAACATGTTTACAATACATTCTTAGAAAGAAGAGATTGACTTTTTTTAAGGGAAATTTGTATCAGTCTGAATTTTACTTCTTTAACTAGAAATGATGAAAAATCAGATTTTTTACCTTGAAAATGGGGGGTCGACTTATACACAAGTACAACTTATACACAAGTAAATACAGTAATTAAAAAATCCAAACACCAATTTGCAATGGTCTGATTTTGTAAATCACTTGTAGGGTCAAAGACCAAATCACACTCCTCTGACTGTTCCATTATCATTATCAATACCATGCAATAATTACCATTATCAATACCATGCAATAATTTTTAAGGGGTGTGGCAGAGAAGACTGGTGAGTGCATCATACTTGCCAATCTCACTCTGACCACCAGCTGGAAAAAACTATCGCCCCAAAATGAAGTACCATAAAATTTTCCCGCAACAATGTGAGTTTCGTAATGTTGTAATAATCATAATTTTTTTTATTTAATTATCTGCATCATCATCATTACCAAAGCATTAGATGGAGTAGCCAAGAAAAATTCTCCTATAAAAAAGCTTAACCCTTAAACTCAAGAAATGATTAACATGTAACTTCTCCCTAAAATGTCCATTAATTTATCCAGTAAACTGGTGATAAGAAGATTCAACCTTACTCAAACTTATCAGATAGGAGTTTTCATCTTGATCTAACACCAAGTTCTCATTGCTAATTAGTATGTGTAATCAAATGGCGATGAGTGAAATTAGGAAATTATCAGAATTTTGACAAAACACAAGTGAAATTATTTCCTAATTTCAC